GTGTAATTGATTCTACTTTCAACTGATGCCACATATGTTAATATCTAATAGGATAAGAGGAAGAAAGCCTAAGTTTCAGGTTTCGATTGAGTAGTGTCTTTAGAGAGGGATGATAAATTAAAAAAAATTTTAATGAAATTTTGAATTTCAAATTTGATGAGAATTTTGCTGATAGATTTAGATTCCAAAAACGAAATGCTAAACTAATCTTAAATCATAGAAGGAATTCATTGATATTATTATAAGTAAATATCCCAATTTAGTACAAGAAGAGAGATGATATTGATGAAAATCATGATAAATTCAATAGTAATTCACAATTCATTACCACTCAAATATCTCATTATCATATTATTTGGGACCATATTGATTTAAATTAAAAATGATCCTATTATAGATGGAAGCTAGGATGAACTATAAAACAAAAATTATGATGTACTGTAGTTACTCACTAATATTAGAATAGAGTATTTGAATTATAGCCGTTGATAGTATATCAAATTCAATAAAAAGAAATAAATAAATTTAAGTTAACAAAATTAAACAAAGATAACTTTTAATACAATTAAGTACTTATTAAATTTAAATTCTCATAGGTAATTGGTGTATTGTATTAATTGGATTGATTATATATAATTTGGTTACGAAATACAACTTAATAGAGTTTGATTAAGGTTTTAAAAAACAGATACAGTTTAACAAAGGTCCTCTAGTGAACGTGAAACAAAGCTAAAAGATGTATAAAAGAACTGCACGGCATATAAAAATTAGATATTACATCTGATTATATCAAACAAATATCAAGAGTTCTGAGACAAATGAATCTATATATTGCAAGGATAAATATTTAAGATGGTTGGGATGGATTAAGCATCCATCGTAAAAATCTTTAAGTAAGTCATCAGCATCACTTAGGTGTTAAAAAGTTCTTAAACATAGCTATGATACAGAACCAGAGTCATCATTCCAAGCTACACAACTTTATAGTACGTGCTTTAAACTTTCATATGAATGAGACTTGGCATTAATAGCACAAAAGCATCAGCAAGTTTCACCAGTATAAGTAGGACCAGGAGATGAGTATTGTTTATCAACAAAGAAGTACATTAAGAAGATTGGGTAGCCGTGCAATATGCTTCAGAGTTAGATAGGAAATTACATAAACTTAAACTATGCCACTATATTGGAATCAAAAGAGATGATGTGGAGTAAAATATCATTACACGGTATTGTAGCTAATTAAAGCTGCTAAATACTTTATTTGATCGAAATAGATATATGAAATTCTATAAAAGAACTCACGAATAAGTTAAATGTATTAACGGGACAATAGAAAAAGAATTCAAATGCAAATAACGGCTTTTTAAAGAAACAGACTGTGAACGAATCGAGCAACAAATTAGACTATATTAGATTAAATTAGCTTCTTAACAAGCATCTCCGGTATTTCAGAAGTTATAAATAAAATGATTATACAAATATCATTTTTTTTAAATATTAACTCTTTTATACTCAATGTAGATTTTGGTCATAATTTAGAATAACGTCAATAATAATTGTTGTTTTTTACTATTTCATAATTAAAAATAAGGGTAGTAATTTAGTAAAACTTGGAGTAACTACTTATTTCTTAAGGCTAGCATTAGAACTAATAAGTTGATCAAAATCTAAATAAGTCATGTATATGATTATAAATTACATTAGAGAAGCAATTTTGAGTGCCTTAAATAGAAAAATCTTTAAATTTTTATCCATTTAAAATTGTCAACCCATATATGCATTCGAGAAATTAAAAACTAATTGTCAATGAAAGTAGGAAAAGTATATAGAAATTAAGAATTGAAAGCAAAAATGAAAATACTTTATGAATAAAAAAGGTGAAATGAGTTAAAAAATATAATCAATAGAAATATTATTAACCTTCATGGATTATTTGAATTAAAAAGTAAATACTGAGTGAGAATAAATCAAATTTCAAAACTTGGTTGATAATATTATAAAAACCTATCTATCAAAAGCAATCTCCAAAACAATGCTTAAAAACTAATGCAACTAACAAAATAATTTACGAAAAATGGAATAAAGTTTATAAATTTCCATTGATTCAATTATAAATAAATAAATTAATTTCAAATTTAATCCCAATCTGAACTTATAATCTTAGATAAATCAA